AAAGATTTCCCCCTCCAAACCTCCTAATCCCTGGAGAATATTACATCATGTGAGCACCATAGTGTTAATCAGTCAGTACCAATTTGATGGCAAGTAGAAGTGGAGCCCATTTCTGATCTTGTGATACTCGCTTTGGATAATGGGCTCAAAGGTCAATCCAGGAATATAAGAGGTGCTAGATCACTGTCATTTTTATAATTGAGTAATATTCCATTCTATACATATACCAAATTTTAATAATCCACTCATGAATCGATGGCACTTGGGTTGTTTCCACATCCTTGCAAAGTGTTACACTGCCATAAACATCAGGTGCAGATGTCTTTATTATAGAATCTTCTTATGCTCTTTTGGGTGATGCTAATAGTGTTGTTGGATCGAATGTTATTTCTATTTTAGCTCTTTGAGGTATCTCCAAATTATTTTTTCTGGAAAAAAAACCAAACACTTTATTTACAATGTGACACCTCAAACACAAGATTATGTTAACACTTGTTAGCTTTCACAATCTAGTTATTGCAAAGGCATATGGATAAATGTTAAATGGACAAAGTAAAAAACCAGGCACCTTAATGAATGTAAATTTAAAAAAAAAAACATTCAACCACTGACTTCTAAAAGAGGCTAATATACCTCTATATACTTACATTCTAAAAATTATATTGCCTATATAGTTTGTGTCCTGGATTCTACAATTTAAGGAAATGATAACAAAACTGTGTACAACCTGCAAAGGAAAATCATTTTGTCAACTTCAATTCATGGAAAGACAATGCAAAAGCTTAGTAAAAACTCTGTCGTAGCCACACATAAAGCTGCCTATGGAAGATGTGGTCACTGTTACTTGGAGCTAAGGAGTATTTCTGCCACTGCATTGCAAACTATATACCATACCTTGTGTTTAGACAAACACAATCATGCTTTTCAAAAATATATTATATAATTTTTTCATGCCACACATTGAACATGTTTCTCTTGTCCAATTTAATCTACTTAGAGTTTACTTACAGCACTCGGAGGAGCAACACCACATGGTACCGGGCCATCACATTTTTAAAGGGAAACTATTTTCTTTAAAATTATTTAAAATACGCAAAAATACGAATGGGACTGCTATTATAATATAATATTTAGAATGAAAATCATGTCTTTTCTTCTTAAAAGTGCCATATAGGGAATGACACTTATAACCCAGACCCACTTTGTTTAAAATGCAATGTAAAGAGCTGTTATGAATGAAAAGTTTGCACAATTCCTTGGAGCAGTTAAAGTCTGCTACATGCAACATAGGCTACAAAGCACTCAAGACTTGGTAGCTTTTCTGAAATTGAGTCCCTATCTCATATTTAATGGAAATTAACATTTACAGGGTGCATTTACATACACTATAATACAGAAATGATGTCCCTTTGCCAAAAGATAAATTGTACATTTCTTGCTATTTCCTGGTTCCAACTTGATAATTTCTTAAGATTGTAAATATATAGTACTCAGCTAAATATTTCTTCATAAATAGTTAAAACCTGCCAAAACACAAACGGGAAAGTATTTTTCATTCAAAAATGATATTTGAATGTCACACAACACAAGAAACAATGCTTAGAGACATGTTATTGTTTACAGAAGAAAATGGTCAGTAAACTACTTAGCTGAAGACAAAGACTGCCCTTCCCTAGGATCACAGTGCACAAAAAGCAAAATGTCAAACAACAGTACTCAAAGCAAAATAAAGGTCTGAGGATGAAGTCAGCTCACTTGTAATACTGATAAAGAATGAGAGTCACTGTTTAGGTCCAATGTACTGGAACATTTGCTAGCTCAGAATGCTATATTGGTAGAATATGCTAAGAATTCAACCAAGGATGCCGAAGGCATTCACCAGCTGACGCTTGTTTTCTAGAACCATTTCTAACATCGAATCAGGAATCTGTAAACGTGCAGCATCTTCATGGGCAGCCGTACTTTCCCACAAGTACATCAAAGAGGCTCCAGGCTTCAGCTTGTAATGTGCTGCAGTTCTCCTCTGTGATTGAAGAATAGAGATTGCACTAATTCGCAGTCCCACCAGCAGTGTAAGAGTGTTCCTGTCTCTCCACATCCTCCCAAGATTTGTTTTTTTTTCGAAATTTTTGATAGAGGCCAATATCACTGGGGTTAGGTGATACCTCATTGTGGTTTTGATTTGCATTTCTCTAATGATTAGAGATGTTGAACATTTTTTATATGTTTGCTGGCATTATTCTGGCTTTTTTTTTTTTTTAGGAGAAAACCACTTTTAATCAAAAATAAAGCAATACTTTCAAATAAGACTCTGTTTACAACATAAACTGTAATTTGCTGAAACAGCTTTCATAAGTGGTATTGTGAAATTTAGGTATCAGAGTATCAAGAGTTTCAACCTTTTCTGACTTAGCTACAAGCAATATTAAATAAGAACTTTTCCCATAAATTTAATTTCCATAAATTAAATCTCTAGCCTATCCCTATCCCCAATGGACTGACAAAAGGAGAGATTTTAAACAATCATTCTATAATGAGGAGTTCCCAGATAAAAGCAAGTAATTTTCCTTATAAAAAGCTTATATGTGAGACACAAACTTATATTTAACTATTTTTAGTATTTAACTCAATTTCCACAAAACTTCAAAACACAATTTCATCAAGATGATCTTTACTACAATTTTCCTTTAAAGTTCTCAAATCCCAGAATGGTTTTAATTTGACATACTGGACATATTAAACTTTGAAAGAAATTACTAAAGTTATTGCTTTAAATTAGAAAAAACTATGGTCAAAAGTCTCTTTAAAAAGAGTTCATTATACAGATATTCTTACTCTTGTAACTGCAGAGAAAATGTTCAAGCACATAGTAAACATCACTCTTTTAAAATGACAGAACAAAAAGCATATGTTAAGATGTATGGCTTTTTTGAGATTGTTACAACTATACATAAAGTCATTACTGTTTGATTGAAAAAGGCTTTTACAAAACTCCACTTCCAAAATTAATATTTTTATTAAATCAAGTTTAAAAAATGTCCACTGTAGAAAAGTCAACAAGGGTTTTAACAAAACCAAAATATACCTTTTTATACAATATATGTATATATTAGCAGCAAACTACTTCCAAGATTGTATGTTTAGTTATTTTAAAGAAAGCTTAAACAATGTATATTAGTAAAGAATGTCAGCTAATCCACTCTTCATCCTTAATTCTGTGATTTAGGCCTTATACAAAATACTTTATGATTCTTATTAATGAATACTAAGAACAAACCCAGGTTTGACTAAAAAGTAGCAGAACAGGGTAGCTGGTAGAATCTGTTTCACTACATCATAGTCATGCATTATCTTTGAGAATAACAAATGAGCACCATATAAATAGGTAATTGTGTGTCTGTGTAAACTCAATTTTTAAGGTGTAACAGCAGCCAACTAGATCAGTTAGCATGTGACTCTTACTTTAAACATTTTGATATATAAAATTTTAATCAAAACAGATGAAAACTTCAATCTCCTATTGCTTGTCCACTTTTAAAATCATTAATAGAAATTCTGTATATAACCTGACAAACTGTATACATATGTGTATACACACACAAAATGTATGTATATATACATATATATCTTTAGCTTTGAATGAATTTCTAAACTAGAAGAAGCTAAATTTCTCATTTAAATTTATCTGTAGAACATAGTATCACCAACTGAAGGTTCTTAATACAAGTTTCATCTCAGCTTATCAGAAATACTGGCTACTGAAAATTCTGAGGTTAAGCTGTTATTCAGCTTACCATATTCCAAGTTTACAAATTAATAAAACAAGAGAGAAATCACCAATTGCCCATCAAAGAAATAAATTTTTTCTCTTGGTATTTCCTTCTACTAGCAGACCGAAAGTATCTTTACAATGAGCTTTAACTTTGTAAAGAGTTAAAATTATTACAGAAATCTCACTAGTCTTCAAAGATACTAAACGTTATATAAATACAATTTTCTTATAGTTGAATTCTTCAGCTAGAATCTGTATTTTAAAAATTTCCTTTGGATTGTTCCATTTAGTACTTCAAGTTTCTATTCTGTGACTCTGACAATTGGCTCAGATTTGTTAGGTTTATATCAATCACATCTTTCAGAATTTGCTACTGTGTGTTATCTGTGTACAATAAAGTAAATGAGAGGAAATGTACCAAATTTCAAAAGCAACATAATGAAAAATTCAAGAATATGTAATATAAAAAAAGAAAAAGTACAACAGGGTTTCCCTTTTCACCATTACATTAGTGAAATATAATCCATTTTTGCTTTTAAAGCTAATGTCATAACTTTCATTTTTAACTTATCAAGACGATGAAGTTTTTAGATGGCCTACCTTTATTTTTCAATCAAAAGACTATAACAATAGACTGAATTACTTTTATTAATATACACATCAAGTTATTGAAACAGTGACTTCATGTAGTTTTCCCCTTAAAGATGGCAAAGATGTGGAGATGTATAACAGCCTTCAGATGTTTACTTGAAAAGATTCTTCAACAGCAGTTTGATACTGGGTTTCCTAATCTAGTTGAAGATTCACGAATTCTCCATAATCAAACCGATGTCTTTGATTTAGATGACTAACAAAATTTCTAGTAATCTGGCTAGGATCTCCCCAAGGAAGAGACACACAAATAGGACATGTCACAGGAACTATCTGAAATAGGTGATTACTGTTACAGTGATCCAGTAAACGCTGTCTGGTAAAATTTGATTCTTGACACAGGGGACACTTAAAGGTGGGATGCCCAGAACTTGTATTCTCTTGGTAACTTTCTGTGTTATCAGATGTGGATGTTTCACTTCTATTACTGTTCCCTACCGAATCTTGAGAGATCTGAAAGTTTGGAATGATAGAAGAAACGCCATATTCATCCTGATACTTCTTACAAGATTTGTAATGATGTCTCATGCGATAGAATTTAATCTGTTTTGCACAGCATCTGCAGCTACCAGAAAACTTTCTCATGATATCTTCAAGGTCTAAGGCCCGTTCAGGACATGCTCTCTCTCTTCTAGTCACATTTCCACGACACAAGGGACAGTGTATTCCACTTTCTCTCATTGCTGTCAGGAAACATTTTCTACAGAAAACGTGCTGACAGGCCGCAGTCCGCACCGGTGTCTTGAGCACCTCCTGACAGATGGGGCAGTAGAAATCATTTTCGGTGTAGGACGTGGCCGCAGAGAGTTCCTCGGCCATGGCGGGGAACGGGGAAACAAGGTGATGGCGGCGGCCGCGGCCGAGGTGACGGTGGCGGCCCGGGTCCCGACTCCCTGCGCGAACCCCTATTCTGTCTTTTTTAGAAAAGTTTTTGTTCATTTCCTTTGCCCATTTATTTATGGGGTTGTTTGGTTTTTTTCTTGTTGTTTTTTAAAAAATTCTAGATAGATTCGTGTTATCAGCCCTTTATTGGATGTGTAGAGAGCAAATATTTTCTCCTATTCAGTAGGCTGTCTATTCACTCTAATGATAGTTTCCTTGGGTGTTCAAAAATTTTTAATTTGATCAGATCCCATTTATTTATATTCGTTGCTGCGGTGATTGCTTTGGGGGACTTCTTTAAAAATTCTTTGCTTAGGCCAATGTCTGAAAGGGTCATCCCAACACCTTCTAGAATTCTTAAGGTTTCTTGCCTTAGGTTTAAATCTGTTATCCATCTTGAATTGATTTTTGTGAGAGATGAGAGGTGATGATCCAGTTTCAATCTTCTGTATGTAGCTATCCAGTTTTCCCAGCACCATTTATTGGAAAGAGATTCTTTTCTCCAATGTATATTTTTGTCTGTTTTGTCAAAGATTAGAGTACCATATGCAGATGGTTTAATCTCCAGATTCTCAGTCCTGTTCCAATGGTCTATGTCTCTGTTCTTGTACCATTAACATGCTGTTTTAATTGTTACAGCCTTTTAGTACACCTTAAAGTCTGGTAGACTGATACCTCTCAGTTTGTTCTTTTTACTTAAGATTGCTTTGGCTATACGAGGTCTTTTCTGGTTCCATACAAAGTGTAGAATTATTTTTTCTATATCTGTAAAAAATGATGATGATACTTTGATATGGATCACATTAATTATGTAGATCACTTTAGGTAGCATGGACATTTTAACAATATTTATTCTACCAATCCATGAGCAAGGTAGATTTTTCCATCTGTTTACATCTTCTACAATTTCTTTTCTTAGTGTTTCATAGTTCTGCCTGTATATATCTCTCACATCTTTTGTTAAATATATGCCTAGATATTTAATTTTCTTTGAGGCTATTGTAAAAGGTATTTCATTTTTTATTTGAATTTTGGCTTGACTGTTATTGGCGTTTATGAATGCCTCTGATTTTTGTGTACTGCTTTTGTATCCTGAGACTTTATTGAATTCATTTATCAATTCTAGGAGTCTCTTGGTTGAAACCTTGGGGTTTTCTAGCTATAATAGCATATCATTGGCCAAGAGCAAGAGTTTCATCTCATCTGCCCCATTTGGATACCCTTAATTCCCCCCTCGTGTTTAATTGGTCTAGCAAGGACTTCCAGCACTATGTTGAATAGAAGTGGAGATAGTGGGCAACCTTGTTTGGTTCCAGTTCTAAGTGGGAATGGTTTCAATTTTTCCCCATTAAGTATGATATTAGCCATGGGTTTATCATAAATAGGCCTATCATAAATAGGCCATATATCATAGGCCATTTATCATAAATAAGCCATAAATAGGATAATTTTAAGGTATGGCCCATCTATGCCTATTTTGTTAAGAGTTTTTTCATAAAGATACGCTCAACTTTGTAAAAAGCTTTTTCTGCATCTATTAAGAGAATCATATGGTCTTTGTCTTTGCCTTTGTTTATGAGGTGAAGTGTGCTTATAGATTTGTGTATGTTGAACCAGCCTTGCATACCTAGAATAATGCCCTCTTGGTCATGATGAATTATTTTTTTGATATGCTGCTGAATTCGATTTGCTAATATTTTGTTGAGGATTTTTGCATCTATGTTCATGAGGGATATTGGTCTGTAGTTTTCTTTGTTGTTGTTGTTGTTGTTTTGTCCTTTCCTGGCTTTGGTATCAAGGTGATATTGGCTTTGTAGAATGAGTTAGGAAGGACACCATCTTTCTCAATGTTCTGGAATAATTTCTGTAGTATAGGTATGAGTTCTTTTTTATATGTTTGGTAAAACTCTGAAGTATATCCATCTGGTCTGAGACTTTTACATTTTGGGAGGTTTTTAATTCTGCTCCAAATTCTAAGCTTGAGATTGGTCTATTCAGAAATTCTATTACCTCCTGGGTGAACTTACAGAGGTTGTATGTTTCCAGGAATTTTTCTATTTCCTCCTCATTATGTAGTTTCTGGGCATATAGGTTTTTATAGTAATGGAAAATGTTTTGTATTTCTGTGGTGTCTGTTGTGACCTCTCCTTTTTCATTTTAAGTCATATATTCTTACTGAAAAATATTATTTTTATTTTTTTTTTTGAGACAGAGTCTCGCTTTCTTGCCTAGTTAGTGAGTGCCTGGCGTCAGCCTAGCTCACAGCAACCGTCAGACTCCTGGGCTTAAGCAACTCTACTGCCTCAGCCTCCCGAGTTGCTGGGACTACAGGCACAGCCACCATGCCCGGCTAATTATATATAATATTAGTTGGCCAATTAATTTCTTTCTATTTTTATAGTAGAGATGGGGTCTCGCTCAGGCTGGGAACTCTGACCTTGAGCAATCCGCGCCTCCGGCCTCCCAGAGTGCTAGGATACAGCGTGAGCCACCGCGCCGGCCTGAAAATATTATTTTAAAAATAATTCATCTAAAAGCTCAGGTATCATTTTCTGAAGTAAGATTATTTTTAATATAATTATTATAATGTGAATTATCAATTTTAATTTATCTATTTAAAATAGCAAATTCAATGTACTTGCATAAATTAGAGACATTACAAGCTTGAATAGAAATATTTTTTTCTCTGCAGTTGCAAATATTGATCACAGAACAGCTTTGGTGTTTTATATAACCTGTCAGAACTTTAGGGAATTAATCTAATAATTTTATAAACAAATTAAGAATTCTGACCATTTACAGAGTTATCAGTAGATAAAAATACTGAATAAAACTTGACAAATCATTTTGGAATTCAAACTCACTGATTTTATTGCAGTGGAAATTCAGTACTTTCTTATTATTTATATTTAGGTGAAAGATATGGATGATGATTTGACATTAGTAGCTCACTCTCCTCAATTGTGAAGATATGGAAACTGCTGCCTTATATTTTATCTACATATTCTTCATTATTTCTTTGTTAGATTGTTAAGAAGATGTAAACATCAGTATCTAATAATAATAATAACTTTTACTTTAGAGGCAAGCACATTTTTGGAGAAAATGGAGTGTTGTTGATATTGGATTATGAACAACTTAGCACAGTGGCTCCACATCCTCTTTATTAATGGTTATATATCCATTCATAAATTCTTTGATATGATGGAACTTACTTCGTTGAGCATGATTTTGAGTTTTGAGTTTCCTTAAATAATGGGCCAAGACTTGAGATATTTCAACTTAAATGGTTTCTAATCTCTAGTATTAAATATGCATATGTCTACTGAAAGCAATGAGTTTATTATTTTTTTAGTACATATTCTCACTGAACCCTATTGATGACATAAAAGAAAAGGAAGCACAATAAAATGGAGGATGCAAATGGGCAAGAGTAATCTCCATGTGTTGTGTGTTCACTTGAGCAGTATACTTGGGAATATTGAAAACTGTGAAGGAAACTTGATCAATTAGTATTGTCAATGTAAATTATGAAGTTCATTTTTCTTATACAGATTTAAATACAGGCAAATAGGACAAGATATCTTAAGAAGGGTAATAAAGATCTGACTCCATTTTTGTTATTTGACTCCTGATAGTTTTCAAGCCATACCTCCTGTCTCTATCTGTTCTGCTAAAATCTTAATCGCAGCCTCAGCTCCTGACCACCTAAAAACCGAAGCAGTCTCTTTTCCCGATCTTCATCAACTAGTTTGGATCAGTTGGATGCCTGCCTTGCTTTCCCTATAAAGCCTATAATAACATTTTCATAGTCTCCTGGAGTATGTGTGGTGTCTTGGCCTGAACTAAATTTGAGGGTGGGAGGGTGGGCCATGTATTCCACCTCTGTGAGTGACCAATATTGGAATACTGATGAAAAGGAAACATATAGTTGTGATAAAAATAATATATATAATATATTGTATACTATTATAATATATTAATATTCGAGATGTAATGTACACATATATATAGTATATACTATATAATATATATAATAAAGGAATGCAATACTGCCAATGATTCATAAGTTCTGTATGATTTGATTTCTTCTTTCCAAACCAAAAGAGTAGGTAAGAAAACTAAGAGTATATAATCTGGTGGTATCCACTAGGTTGCAGACGCCAACTCTTAATTCCTAAGAATGGAACCAAAAGTTTTAGTCCAGGGAATAACTGTTAACAATATACTAATTTAGGGAATTGGTAGAGATGTGATCCACATGACTGTTTGTTCTTTTATCATTTAGTGAATTAGCCCCCTAGTGACAAGTGACCATGGCTTTGAATAGCTTAACTCCTTTCCATTTTGAAGTAAGACTGTTTCTCCTCCTTCGTCCTGTTCTGGTAGATGACCAGTTTTCTACATAACAGACCAGATGTGAAGGTTACGCTTTCTACCAAGGCAACACCTTACTAAAACAGATACTGTCTAGATACACTGGCAAGTCTACACTAACAAAAGTATGCAATCTTATAGTTTGGAAAGGTACTTAAGAAATATTTGTTTCTATGTTTACTTAGACTGAATATTTAAAACCTCCAGAGATGAGTTCTGAGAATAAAGGTGAAAGTTATCATCACATTTCATACAATTCTGACATATATTTTATCTAGAGATAATTCAAGCACTCCTGCTTCAACTTAAAAACACATATTTTTTGTAATTTTTGTTTCAACTTTCAACAGTCCTTTTCATATGATTTTCAAAAATATTGCTTATAGAAAAGGAAAAATGGTGGAGTAAGGTAATCCCACAGATTTTCTGCTCCCAGAGAAAGAGACATAGATCTTGTCTCCTACACGCAAGTGGATCTACCCCCTACAAGAAGCCATCATGAATCCACAGAGTTACAGCGGGGGAACTCTCAAAAATGGAAAAATAACGGTGCCAGGCTGGCTACTGAGAAGACTAACGCCAAGGGAGTTGTGCAGGGCAGGCTGGGGAACTACCTCCCTCCCTAGCCTGCATCTCTTGT